ACTCTTTCCGACAGCAGCTTTCCCTGCTGCTCTGTCTCTCCTGCTTGCAGGTACTCAGCTTACTTTGGAAAATGATTTCCCTGTGGTTGTTTGCTAAGGGCTCGCGAAGCTTACACGTTCACATAGCAAACGAGGGTTGGGCTAGGAGGTTTATTAGGCAGGAGGTGGGAGCTGCAGGCTGTGAAATGAGTGCCCTACAACTACAGAGCACTCAGGAAAACTTCCTGGATGACTGTTTCCTTGTCATTCTGATGGGACAAACATCTACAGAAGAGCAGTAGGGTTTTGCAGAGGGACTGAGGCTCAGGTTGCACAGAGCTGATGTCATTAAACACCAAAAATCATCTGTGACCAGGAGGAGGGGTGCCTTTTTTGTGGCCGTTTCTTTGCCTCTGTTAACAGCTTCTCTCCCTAAATGGTGCAAACAATAACAGGGCGTATTCGGGGCCATGCCGCATGTCAGCTATGGCTTGGTGGCGGTGGGGTCCTGCTCCAAGCAAGTGCCTCTGTTTGCAAGGAAGAGGTGAATGTTTTGCCCTGGTGAAACTGTGCCTGCTTTTACACTGATCTCACTCTTGTGCCAGGAGAGCTTTGAAATCTCTCTTTGTCAGCCATTTCCCATGCACTCTTGCATCAGAGCAATGCCAGAGGCTAAGAACCCAAATGTGAGAGAACACTAGGCAATGCACTGTAAATCCAGGCTAGTGAGTGCCACATACCCTGGTGCTGGATACAAGCTCCATGAATCGCTGGCATCAGCCTCACCATCTTGTTATTGAGAGATAGAAGTCTGAAGGTGAGTGGCAAGGGCAAAAAGGGGTCGGTTCTGAGGGGTATGTTTTCTGATTGGTGTGACTTTATGCTGGATTAAGAGGTTTACTTTCCCTCTGGTTATTCTCCCTGAGAGGCAGCAGGACTTTTGTGTGTCTCTTACATGGGAGTGTCGTTGGAGAACTTGTTGAGGGTCTCAGAATAGTGATACGTCATTTACCCCAGAACGTGGGTCTTTTTAACAGAGAAATAAATATATGTAAGTACAGAGCAGTTAGTGATTTCAAGAAAACTTGACTCCATTTGTGAGGGGCTTGTCACAGCCTTCCTGGTTAGAGGCCCACAGTTTCCAGAGTCTGGTTTTCTAAAGGTAAAATAAACCAAAACAAAAATAAAATGAAGACTTCTCAGTCTACCAGCAAACTAACCGGGCCGCCAGGGCCATATCCATTTCCTTTTCACAGCCTGATGCAAAGGAGCTCCCAGACTCTGAAGAGCGAGAGGAGGGCCTGCTGCCGCTGAATGAAATAATCTGAACCTATTGTAAATGTGTGTTGATGGGTGCATAAATGATCCTGATCCGGTGTTGATGGGGCCTAGGAGCTTTAATGTTGTTGATGCGTGGACTTTTTCCTGCAGATTCAGTGGCGTGAGAGCTGGCAGCACCCTGGGGATTAAGCAGCCTGTCCCCAGGGCTGGTCCTTCTTCCAGCAGCAGGTCCTGGCACAGCAGTCCCCCAGCCCAGCTCCTAGTGCTGCCTACAGCAGCAGCAGGCATCTCTGACAGCCCACTGGGGCAGTGAGCACTGGAGAAAAGGGCTCCTCTCTGCTGCGTCTCAGCATTTTATGTTTTCCATGTGCTGGGACCAATCCTGTAGCAAGGCCAAGAGAGTTGTCCCTCTATGGCGGCTCTGCTGCCTCCCTCCCTCTCTCCCAAGCAAATCTGCCCACCAATCCCTGCCCTCCTGCTAATGTTGTGTTTGCCCCCAAAAGGGAAAGACAGGGAATAAAAGAATGAGTCATCTGGGGGATTTTTCATCCTCCCTCTCCCTGCATCCCCAGTGAAGCTGAGATATTACAGTTACACCATTAAAATATTTGCAGCACTCTTAATTTTCCTAAAACTGACTGTGCCTGGGCCTGAGAACTGACAAAACAAATCTGAAAAATCAGCTCTGTCTTGCAGCATCCTCAGGCTGTTCTCACACTGCTGTTGCCCTGCCCCCTGCCCCGAGTTACCACATCACGGTCCCAGAGCCAGAACCCTTGGTCGTTCGCCCCATGCAGAGCTTGGGCTCAGTCCCACAGTACAGTCACATCAGAGACAAGATTCCTGTCGTCTTGATCAGGGTCATAGTCCTTATCTTACCATCTATATTTTACAGCTATGTTATATCGGCGCAAGCAGGGATTCTGTTCCCTGTCTGTAAGATCAAGATGCAGCCCTTTTCCAAGGGGATGCCAAACTGCTGCTTCAGCCCTGATGCCCTCTTCTGGCCCTTCACTTGGAGATGAAGGAGGATAGGAGGAGGCCAAAGACGGCTGGAGGGATGAGTCAGATACACTGTCCATCCTTAGTGCACATAGATTTTTATTCTTTGCGAGCTCTGTATCTCAGCAACATCAGATCTCGGCCCAGTGACCCAGCTGGTCCTCCAGGGCCTGCCCTAGCCCCTGGGCTGTAGCATGCTCAGGTCCCACCAGAGCTGAGCTGGGGTCTGAGGCTCTTTCAGGGAGGAGAATTTATTGATTCTGTACTTGTGCCACCTGCAGGCCAGAGGAAAATCCATTTGATCTCCATTCACAGTTCAGTTCACAGCTGCCTGGATTGGCTTCCTAAAGGGCTGGTAGCTCTTAAATTTCATCTTCTGTAGTTTCACCGTCTGATTCCCATCTCTGAGATAATGTCCTGGAAGGAGAAGCACATAAGTCCACCCCCTTGTTTCATCCAGCGGCTGGACCACCTCGTGTTGACTGTGAAGAGCATTGAGGACACTGTAGCCTTTTATTCCAAAGTCCTGGGCATGGAGGTGGTCACTTTCAAGGTAACATGGGTACAGGTGACACTTAGGCCTAGGACACCTTAAAGCACGGTCCTGGGCTGGTGTTCAGCCACTGTGGACCTCTGAAAAGGGTTCTTGGGGTAACTCCTTGGGGTGGGGATGGCATGATCATCACAAACTGTAGACTATCAAGGTCTGAGTTTCAAGAGAGTCAAACTGAGTCAGGGAAAGGTTCAAAACACACTGCAGAAGAAGTCAAAGTGAAAAAGAAGGAGAAGTTCCTTGAAAAACATAGTTGCCAGAACTGAAGGAAGAGAACCCTCAAACCCATAAATCCTCTAATGCTGTCTGACAGGCTCTTGTTTTGAGATTTCTACTGACAAACAGTAGAAAAGATGGATAGTATCTTCAGGACAGCCCCAACTATCTTCAGGACAGCCCCAATCCATCTCTTGGCTAAGTTTCAGACCACTTTACCTGTTTTGAATGCCCCCATTGCACCTTTTTAACTCCTAAGTTCATTTCCTTCCCCCTGCTTTGCCAGGTTTATGTAAAGCAGTTGCACTCACATCCCAGGGCTATAGTGAGTACCCGTTTGTTCTTCAGGTGGGCACATAATGGCAGATTGCTGTATTGCTTTTTAATGGGGCTCAGCACTCAACTGCCATATGTACCTGCAGAAATCTCCCTGAGGGTCTGCAAAGAAAAAAGGTGCCAAAACCTTCTTCCTCACCCTCTTCCCACTGTCTCATATTTGTTCTCTCTGCAGTGTCAACCTCTGCATTATTTTTGTGGCTGCCCACAGGCAGGATGGAGGGTGTGCAGAACTGGACGCTGGCATTGTTATGCGCTGGAGGAGTAGTTGCACATGGTTATAGGTCTCATGCTATCTTTCCCGGGTCACTCCACATCTCCAGAGATGTAGTGGAAATGTTGTAGGGGTCAGTTCTTATCTTGGGTTGCCACAGTGAGAGCCCAGAGATAGCGAAGATACAGTTGGGTCCCCAGGTGTTATGACTACACAGGTGAATGGATACTGAAGACTTCAAGGCGAGGAAGTCTTGTAGGACATTGATTCTTTTCTTTGGGAACAGGGAAACCGCAAAGCTTTATGTTTTGGCTGCCAGAAGTTTAACCTCCATGAGGCTGGGAAGGAGTTCGAACCCAAGGCTCGATACCCAGTCCCCGGTTCTGCAGATGTTTGTCTTATCACACAGAAACCCCTGGACCAGCTGCTGGAACACCTGAAGGTGAGGAAGGTGTATAGCATGCATATATTGGTGTGAGCTGGAGCGGTAATGAGGGAGCTGAGGGGCCTGCCTGGAAACAGAGCTAATGAACTTGCCTCGTCTCTCTGGAGACCTGCACTTCAGTTCTGATCTTACTTTAATGGGCACAAATCAAACTCTATTGAAATGACTGCGACTGAACAGTGTAAGAGAGAGGACAATGAGTTAAATTTGAGAAGTGCATGGAAAGGAATCTCTTAGCTTTTATTTTGCACCACCTGGCAAAATAAGCACTAGTTCTGGCATACTTGTAAGCCAAGGTGTGCTGGGAAGGTGGCCGGCATAAAAGAGCAAGACCTCCCTGCAGGAATTAGGAGCATGGCAGAGCTGCATGGGGAGGTGATGTGCATTGTGCCTCCACCAGGCCCCAAGCCTGCGTATCAGGGCTCTGTGAGGTGGTGATGAAAGGTATCAGCCGAGGTATTTCAGGGAGGGCAAGATGTAACTGTCCAGGAGAAATCATCTGCTGAGCCTCACAGACCTTTCATTACAGGTATAGCAGCACTTAGTACCTGCCAAGATCTTCTGTGCTCAGTACAGATATTCATAGCTCGCTGTATAAGGACAGGCAATTAGTGCTAGCCCTCCATATTACATTTTCCAGCCTCATCTCTCTCCCCCAAGATCTCACAGTCCAGTCTAACTTGATTGTGTGTTTCTGAGCTGGACACTTTTTCAGTGTTGTGGGATGGCATGACCCGGAGCCAGAGGAGTTACAGCAGCACTGTTTGGTTGGCCTTGCCATTGAAGACCCTGTCAGTGATCTGAAGAGACCTGCCATTTTCTAGGTGTGAAGCCAGAGCCTCTCAAGTGACATTTTCAGGGCCTGTGCCTTGCGGATGTCAGAATTTTGTCATTCAAAAGCACATATTTTCAGGACTGGGGGAAGAGCGCACCACTCCCTGAAAAGATTCCCCTATGCATTAAACCCCTGTTTTTATGTCTCCTCTCAGGCCTGCGGAGTGAAGGTTGAAGAAGGTCCTGTGGCCAGAACTGGTGCCGTGGGTCCAATAACATCCGTCTACTTCCGAGACCCCGATGAGAACCTGATCGAGGTTTCTAGGTACAGCACAGATACGACAGGTGTGACTGCAGTTAGCAGAGGGGAACACTAACCACAGACTACACTTTGCCTGAGTTCCAGCAGGAGACAGGACACAGAGGCCAGGATTTTAATGGCCAGTTTACGTTCTACATTGCAAACCTAGAACAAGATTCAGCTTTCATACCCACAGAGCAATAAAAAGTAGATCTGCATGAACTTTTGAGAGCTATCCCTCAATCCTGCTTTTATAAATCTCCACTGATGGAGACTTCATGACCGTCCTGGAAGATCTGTCCTGCTGCCACACATTTTCCTAATGTCTGACGCCTCTTTTGCTGCATTTGAAGCCTATGATTTCTGCCCTGTTCACCATGAACACAAGGAACTTGTCATTCCTTTTCTCTTAATAGCCACTTTTTTGCACGCTTGAAGATTTCTGCATCTCCCTTTTTCTCTGCCTGCTTAGCATGACCCAGCCTAACTGGCACTGCTGGCTCTAACACTAAGTCACTGATTTAAATCCAGCTGTGGCTATTGAAAGCCACCTCCTGTCTGGGATTGGGGAACTGGACCTCAGCATTTGACACACACAGCACTCGTGAGGCTCTGTGCCTCATATTCAGCACTGCATAAATACTTGAATAGTTATGGTGCATCTGTCACCCAGGCATGGGGCAAAGTAGAGACACAGTGGCTGTATGCCTGGAAGTCAGGGAGTTCACCTAGATTCTTTCAGGGAGGAGGGGGAAATAGGGTGCCAAAAAGGCCCTGGCATCAGGCATGAAACCTCCGCTTTGGCTCCCCCCTGACAGCCCTTTGTTGCCCAGTCACATTCACTTGTTTTACTGGTGCAGTAACAGGGCTTGCCTCTGGCCCTGAGGCCCCTGCATCAGCTGCATCTGTCTGGCCTGTGCATTGCAGGTACCAAGGGAAAGGTGCAACCTTGTACTGCAGCTGGGAAGCGTTTGCTCCTCCTTTCTTTCCCCATGGATGACACATTCCCATGGGCTGTGGGTCTTGGTCATTCCTTCTCAAAGGAGCAGCCTCCCTGCAAACCCTGGATCCCCGTGGCAACGTGTTTGGTCCTGGGAGAACCTCTGGGCCAAGGAGAGGAAGGCCGATGCTCTTGCCTCGGGTCCAGAATAGCTCCAGTGCTTGAAGAAGTGTTAACATGGAGCTACCTGCGCAGCACGTGGGAGGCATGGCACATCTGCTGAGAGGAGGAAGGTGTGTTGGCAGAGCTGGGCTGGGGGTGGGAGGGCGTATCACAGCAGAGCGCGCTGTACCTCTGACTGACTGCACACAGTTACTCAGGGGATTGCCAAGTCCTGAGTTTCCTCCTTTCTTTAATACTCCAATTATTAAAAAAAAAAAAAAAAAGAAGAAGAAAGAGTGACCTGGGTCTTTTTCAAGGAGAGCAGTTCCCCAGCTGGCCACACTGGGGTAGCAATGTTATCATCAAAGAAACAGTGCTAGAAGGTAGAGAGAACTCTTCTGACCTCTACAGTTAAAATTTTATCTCTAAAAAGGAAATAATCAGTGAACTGTACTCCCTCCCCACCCCGATGATATTTCCTGGGAAAGCTAGAATTCTTCACAGTGAAAAAAAAAGCAAATCCTTAATAAATTCAGTGCTGCAGCTTTCCAGTCAGTGCTGGTAGTAGGGATGAAACTGTTTTCAGTTTGGGTTGAGCCATTCATGGAAACTAATGACAAGAACTGTCTTGGGAGACAAGCCAGAGGCAGCTCACAATCTCTACCTTGTAAATGTGGTGTGAGTCCATTAAATTCTTGTAGGACTGCAGACACGTCTGCAGGGCTTAGTGCAGATTGCAGGGCATAATGTTGCAGCATTTTAGCAATGTTGTAGCAAAGCTCTGTGTAAGGACCTTATAAGAGGGGAGGGTGAGTTTATTTTAGAACAGATTTTGCTTATCCACAATTACATTCTTTCACACCCAAACATCAAGTTGTGTGAGTCCAAGGAGTCTGTCCACCCATCAGGCACCAGAGTGCATGTATCCAGGTGGTCTGTGCAAGATTCCTTGCAATGACAGAGAGGACAAGGGATGCCAGTTATCAAGGCCTACTCATATCCCCTGGGTTCCTCATAGGATGGTGAACATGCGCTGGGCTTGGACATGCCCTTTTGTCTCATGTAGAAGATGGAGATCAGGGTCTCCATCCTGTCTCAGCTGTGAATGAGTAAAATTCACTCGATGTCCCTTGCCACCTAACCTGGGTGTCCAGAGAAGCTGCAGGTAGGTATATTCTGGGATTGTTGAAGAACTCCTTCTCCAGGTGTGTTCAGCACCTGCACTTCACGGAGCCCTTCTTCCTTCTAATGCTTTCACATGCAGCAATTTGCACTCATTCAGCATTCAGATCAGCCTTAACATTTCTATTGCTTTTGCAAGAAGATCAGAGCATGATGCATTGATACTGTGAGCATTAGACCCTTCTTAGTAGGTATTCCAACAGGGTCAGAGCTGTCTTGGATTCCTCTGCCTAGCTCTGCATATCAAGCCTGGATATACATGTGAGAGATCTTGTCTGCAAGCCCTAACTTGACCTTCCCAAAGGCATAAGCAGGATGGAGTCATGAGCAAGATTAGCGCTAGTGTTTGGCATTCTTGCTTTGTATGCCTATGGGTGAAAGTTGAAAGTCAGTCCTGCAACTACTAGTCCCAGCACTGAAAGAAACCAACAGGCCATTTCATGAAAAATGAAAATGCAGAAAGAGCCATGCAGGCCAGCAGTGACACCAGAGAGGTCCATGCACAGGCTACTCATATCCAGGTAGTGAGGAGTACTAGCTTTCTTACTTGGTCACTTTTCTGGGATAAAATAGATGGATATCACCTGTAGTGGTTCCTCCACACGGTGTTCGATTAGCTCCGATTTCCCCCTCCTCTGGTGTCTAGTACCATATAGCTTTTCCCACCACACACATGCCCTTATAGGGCTGGGCCATGGAGACCTTCCCTTGGGAAGGTACACTCTCCAGGAGCTGAACGCAGAGGAGCCCAGTGTTTTGTGTCGCCACCTTACTTGCAAAATAATTCATTTTGAATATTTTGAGACAGCAGTGTGAGCATCAGACAGGACCATCGAGGTCATGAAGTCCACTAAAGTCTTCCTAAACTAAAAAAAAAATTAGTTTTCCTAAATTTATTTCTTGATTAATTAAAGGGACCTAATTTTTGGAAATCGTTTTGAGTTAAATAGGCCTGAATTTTACCCATCAGACCTATTGCATGTGGGTGCTCCAAATAGGGTGCAAGAATCGCATAGAGAAAACAAACGATTCAGTCCCCTAACACCACAGGGAACAGTCCATTCAATGGGTGAATGAACTTCCATAATGACCTGGGAAGAAGCAGCAGAAGAAATAAGAGAGAAGAGCGCAGCTGTGCGTTTGAAATAACTGCCTTCCCACCACCCTGGCTGCTGTATGATACAAGGGAGAGTCACAAAGATGGAGGTGGAGAGGGGGAGCTTAGGTCACACACTGAGGTGTGCAGTCCCACACAGCCGCAGGGCTTGGAGGACAGACCCTGGGGAGGGGGGCGCTCCTGGAGCCCTCTGGGCCCCCAGTTTGACGGCCGCTGTCCAGGGTGCTGAAGGTCCGAGTGCGTGGGGAGCCCCTGGGGACGGGAGCGCTCCCAGAGGCCGTGGGCCTGGGAGCCGATCCTGTGCTCTCCAGGGTGCTGAAGGCCCTAGCCGCGGGCGGGTCGGCGCCGTGTCCGCAGGGACAGAAGGGAGGGCGCTGCCCGTGGGAGAAGGCTGATCACAGCCTCCTGCTCCTACCAGCCCGGCCCAGGCTCCCCGGCCTGGGCAGACTCTGGCTCCTCCTGGAATTCTCTTCTGGCCAGGGCTTCTCCCTGGCCAGGGCTTCTCCCTGGCTTCTCCAGCAGAGCCCTGTTCGTTTCTGGACTGGGACTGCAGTTACTGATTAATTGCTAACACACATCCTGCCTAGTTCTGCACTAAATGTTCTTTCATTCAGTGAACTTGCTACCATAAACATTTTCTTGAAGAAAGGTTTCCCTTTCTTAATTTTATTTTAAGTGTCATTTATCTTGGAACAGCAGCAGAGAAAAGGACAAGGGCTCTTTTCTTATTCAGCCTGAGAGAAGTTAAGGACTTGGTGGCACCACATTAATGACTGAATTACCCTCAGTGTCGCACAAGGCGGCCTGTGGTTTTCACAGGCCATTTTTTTTCCTTCACTCTCAGAAGGTCTCACTTCACTTGCCAAGTGTTTGGCCCTCCTATTTTGCTAGGGACATTGAACATTCACTATTTGAAGCTAGAAATAACAGGTGAGACCTTTTTTCTGGGCTGGGAGACTGAAGACAGTGTCAAGGTCCCAGATTTTTAGAGAAAAATATCATGAACGGAAAACTGTCATGTATACTTTAAGCTCCTGGGTGCTTGGGGAAAGCCACTTATTGCTTCAACTGATGAAGGGAAAATGAAAGTTGTACACCCCTAGCCTTCCTGTGCCTTCTGTCACTTATTTTACACATTGTCTGCTGAAAGGTGTCAGGATCACATTTGATGGGTGAGCCAAGACAACAGGCTGAGAGAGAGGGACTAGTTTGCTATTGTGATCTTGGCAGCAACATCAGATCATCAGGCCCTTGTTTTGAACAACACATGTCACTCTCAGAATGGAGACTAATGACAATGAATGTCAAACACTACAAGCTGGCAGCAGCTTGCTCCCTTTTTGAGGGGAGATGGTGCCTAGGAGAGCAACACTCAGTGAAATCTATGAAGTCTGTTTTCTTGTAGCTCTCCCTGAGGCTTATCTGGCATCAAATAACCATAAGAAGCACACAGTGCACTTTTTTTCTCAGTGGGCCATGAATCTGGGCTTATCTTATCCATTTGCTACTTAATTTTCCCCAAATATACAAGAAATTTAGTATCTTTCAAACTTCTATCTCTCCTGCTGAGAAGACATTAATCACACAGAAAAGACATGCACAACAGTCTATACTTGCCTAGTATCATGGACACACTGAAAACAGCTTTAGGCTGAGGTGCGTAGTCCTTTAGCCATGAATGAGGAATGAGGTCAGCCCAGGCTATGTGATTTACCCAAGAATCTAAGCACATACTCAGGCAATTTGGTTGGGCTGCGTTCTCAGTCTCTCCACTCTGAATCTGAACTAGTGAGTGTGATGCTCCCTTGGGCACAGCAAGCTATACTATAGAGCCAGGATTTACCCTTAGCTTTCACTGATACCAACACACATAGGGCCCTGTTCATAGACTATGCTACAATCAATCAGACCCATCTACCAGCTATGTATTATCTACATCCCCTGCCATCCTTCTCACTAACTTAAGGCTGATTCCCCTAGTCACTGTATATTTGATGTGGTCTATAACTCAGTGTATGAGGGACTTCCAAAGACTTTCAAAGATAATACTTATTTGATGGAGTAAATATGTAGCTGGGGTGGGTTTGACCATGCATATATTTTCCTCCTTGTGTCCTAGACTAGTAAGCATAACATTCTCCCTTTTCCAAAGAATGACTTTGTAGCAGGTGCTGTTAAAGACCTTGGCACAAACTGGCACTGTTAGGAGGCACACAGGGTGTATCAGGTTTGGAAGGGTTTCTGGATCTCAGGCACAAAATGTAGCCTGAAACCTAATGGGAGAATTCTCTTCTTTCTGCTCTAGCATCAACAGATAAAAGGTTTTTGCTCTTTCCTCACCTGTTTATCTTCATTGTTACATGGCCTTAGCATGTCATGGTGCAGAAAGCATGGAAATGAGAACATTGGCATGAATTTCAGGATGCTGAAACTGCTGATAATCTTCCAAGATACGTTGTTCCCTCCACTGAAGTCCATGTCAGTTCTGGCACATATATTGATCCCCTTGGATAAATGGTAAGTTAACGGCTGACTCGGAAGGCACTGGCCCTGTGGGCTTCCAGCTCACTGAGCTGTAAAACATGTAATAACCTTCTTGGTGATTCTACACCTGACAAAGAACTAAATGAAAATGGAAGCTTGCCATGGAAAGTTAACAAGTATTTAAAATCTATTGATTAATGGGAAGCACTGAGTAACTTGTCATTCTTTGTTGAGAAACTATTTAACCACAGTTAGGCTTCGCTGCCTAATAGCTAGTTGTTCTCACCAGTAAAATCATCCCGCAG